ACCTGTCAAAGTGGATTGTTGGTCTCATCCGTCTATGTTACCTGACCGCCAAACAGCCATTGCCTGGCCCTATCAGGGCTCATTCGACCAGGGCTGTTGAGACTTCCACTGCCTTCCTCCAGGGAGTGCCACTGATGGACATTTGCAAAGCCGCTACGTGGGCCATGCCTAACACCTTCATCAGGCACTACGCCCTAGACGTCCGTATGAACACCAATACCAGCATGGGACATCACATTCTATCTTCGGCTATGCAGTAAAGGACCTGCCAGCACCCTCCTCCAGGTAGGCCACTGCTCGCTAATCTCCAATGGGTGTGAAGCACAGAGACCACATCAAAGATAAACAGGTTGCTTACCTGTAACTGATGATCTTCGAGTGGCCATCTGTGCATTCACACCACCCGCCCTCCTTCCCTGCTGCTGTCAGCTTCTACATTTTTAATAGGGGTTGATTTGCCGCGGTTTGAAGGAACTGGCGGGATGTCCGCGCCCACCCCTCTGGGCATGCGCGGTGGGGTTCCTGTGCATGCCTGAGGGACTGGGTGCGAAAATCCGTTAAGAGCTTGCTACAGCACCAATCGATCCAGCGCGTGCGCACTAGATCCCATGAGTGTGAATGCACAGATGACCACTCGAAGATCATCAGTTACAGGTAAGCAACCTGTTTTTCTATATATTTAACCCAGTTTCAGCATTTAGAATCTCTAAAGTAGCGGTGTCAAACATAAGGCCAAGGGGCTGTTACTGGCCCATCCAGGGCTCTTATGTGGCCCACAAGCAACTAGTACAAGGGAGGGAGCAGGAGACTGCTCTGGGGGAGTGGGCAGAACCACTCCAAATATGGCTTTCGGCATGGTGGAACAAACTCATCTGCAGCAGTCAACCAGTGTGGGAGTGTCTGCCCAGTGCTGATTCTCTGGTTTGCCCATGTGGGTTTTCTTTTGCATCCCCCTCCCAGCCAATGAGGTCTTGCAGTGAGGATACACCAACTCAGAGCTTATCAGCTGCTGTCCTTTATAGAGTTTATATGTCTGGTACCTGGCATTATGTTTTATTGCACACATGGTGCAGCCTGGCAGTGACATTTATGTTGGATCTGGCCCTCATAACAAATGAGTTTGACAGCTCCGCTCTAAAGTTTCATCAAAGCCAATATGCCCTTTTAAAGAACTACATGGATCTATGTACAGTGCATTCTGCTGTCCCTAAAAAAATCTTATTCCTTATTTTGCCCTAGATTAGGATAAAAAGTTATCTGAACGAACTACTATACCATTTTTACTACATTTCTTTTGGTTAATAAGATTAGAAAGCACTGTATTAAAAAGGTTCATATAGACTTACCTGTAGTACTAATTAGTTTGGTTTCTCATGAGTTAAGCCCACTCAGGTATTAATACTGTACTGGGTTCAGCGAGACTTAATCTTTGACAGTAGGTTAAGTTACAATGCTTATGAGGTGAAATTGCAAAAAGAAAAATTGCATCAATATAGTCACTCGTTAGTATCCAAAGTGGGCCAGCTTTTTATATAAAGACAAATCTATTGGTGTTGCAAACATTTTATTGGTGTATAGGAGCTTTCACATCAAACTGCTCAGATTCCCAACTGTTTTCCCTGGAGTTATTTACTGTATCACATACAAAATTTTACAAGCATTATCAAGTGCTTCTCAAATGTTTAGAAGAAGCACCATCATGAACAAAATTTTGACGGTGAATAGAAACTTGCTGCCAGAGTAAGCAATTGGCAATACAAAAAAAGAAATGAGCAATGCAGAGAAAGGACAGAGAGTCTGAAGACTTCAAGGCCACTTTACACATTACACCAGGGGTCCCCAATGTGTTACCATGGTGCCTGTGACACCTTTTTGGCACCCAATAGATGTTTTTAGAAAGTGGGTAAGGTCAGAGGGGGATTTCGCCCAGCAGGGCTTCTGACTGGCCACTGGATTTCTGACTGGCTGTTCAGATTTTTTTAAAATGTTGCTTTGACAACATCTGCCATCACAAGGATTTTCACTGCATGACTGAAGGTAAGTTGCAGCTGTGCAAGAAAACATTTTGAAACAGTATGTTCCTCTTAAAAAGGCTTTCTGTTAAACAGTGCTTCTGCTTGAAATGTTGAAGACTTGCTATTAGTTGTGTTTCACCTCACTCCCTGACATTTCATATTTGCCTCCACTTCCTGCAGCAGTCATGTTGTGGTTCCACCCAACAACCTGTATCAGAATTCTAAAGGTGCCTGCAGGCTCAAAAAGGCTGGGGACCCCTGCATTACACCAATGCAAGACCTCCATTGTAGACACATTAATCTGGAATGTTTCAAGTTAAATATGCACACCACAGAAACATATACTGAACAGCCACACCACATGGCTTCCTGGCATACGATTCTGTGGTGTACATGAATTTAAAACTGATGCTTGTATATTTTGGTCCTGACAGGAGTATGCAAAGCAGATCTTGAACTGGTACCTATTAAAGTGACAATGTGTAAAGCCAGTCCAAGACGTAGATAGAAATTGCACTGTAGCTCTTTATGACAAGAGGAAATTTCTGCAAGACGGTCGGTTGATTCTATGAAACTTGCTGAAGAAGCTTTTCAATATCATCCTGGATCTTGATAGTTTCGAACCGCCTGCTGTATCGTTTGAAAGGCACACCATCAGGACCGATAAGGAACTTCTCAAAATTCCATGCGATGTCATTGCGGCACACAGGAGACCAGATGATGCACTGTGGGTTGGTCATGAGTGATACCTGGTCATCATGTGGGAAAGGCAATGCTTCCTTCAAGAATCTGAAAAGTGGGTGTGTATTTGCTCCATTCACCTCACACTTATCAAACACAGGGAAGTTAGGCTCATACCCATTGCCTGGGCGGACAAACTTCAATGAATTCAGGATCTCTTCATTGGTAGCATTTTCCTGTAAAATGGGATAGAAGACACAGGTTTAGTCTAGTCAGTACCACACAAGCTTTAGCAGGCATAATCAGCAAAGAATCAATTAACAGACTACACCAAGAACTTAACCAGAACTTCAGTAGTAATTCTGCTGAAATGCAGATACCAGAAAGTATTTTTTTTCTTGCCGATACCTTCAAGGCATTCAGGTGCTGCTTGGTATGATAGTTATCTAGTTCAGCAAATACATGGATCAAAACTTCACTTTTTGAAGGTGTTCTGCTCAGATGCAAAACTTAATGTTTTCAAGAGAAATAACTTATTTAAACACCACACACATTATACTAAATGGCTACTGAAGCTACCAATTATCAGTTAATTTTTTTCAATTATTGATAACTTTTTTCCTTAAAGTGCTTGTCAACAGCTGTCTCCACACCAAAAATGCTACTAAAGAATCATGCCCAACATCAGCAGTAGAACAGAGGGGGAAGGAGAACAGTAACAAGCTCTTTTTCATGTTTTTAAGCCTTGAAAAGTGAGTGAACCCCACACTAAGTCATTTCTATCAGCCGACATTGTGGTGTTACCCTATGGTTACTGCAGTTCCCTAAAACTGAACTTGTTGCACACAAAATCTTAGTGTTACAGTCAATGTTCCCTCTAAGCAGTGGAGTCTTGTAAGCAAAAATTCTGCTTTGTGAGCTACTGACATTAAAGTTGTGAGCGAGCCATTTGGCTGCTGCATAAATTAGTTTGCTCTGGAGGCATCCTTCCTGAGCTAAGATAAAAATGTGTGAGCCGGAGGCTAAAAAACTGTGAGCTAGCTCACACTAACTCAACTTAGAGGGAACACTGGTTACAGTCATAACTGAAGTACATAGCTGCATCTTTTCCCTACAGACTTGACTACCTATGACCTCCTAGCCCACTCAAACTAATGATTTTACAAGTTAATGTGGTATTTTTTCACCTGCAGTAAATCCATCATCATGCCTTCCCCTTTTAGGTGTGGCAGGAAGCTCCAGTGAGCCTTGGTTGATTCTGATCAGGCAAATATTTGCACAGGCACCCAACCCAGTTTGCACTTTGCCGAGATTTGACTTTGACCCTTTGAACTCCAGCCATCATCAAGCAAAAGTTTAGCAAATCATTTAATCCAACTCCCCAGCTCCTCGGGCAAGATCTTTGCAGCCTGATAGCAGGCAAAGTACAAGATGTTTTGCCCAGTCCCACAAAGTCAGAAAGGATGGAGAGAAAGCCTTTTTCAAACCAACAATTTGGTTGAAAATTTCAAAGCTTACAAATTTTGACAAACTGACATGCTCCAGGTCAAGTATTAAAAGTGAAAATGATTGAATTCTCCAGTTTCTGGATTTGGCTGCATGTCATCAATCTAAGTGATGGGGGGCGGGGAGTTACTAATGGTCCCTTTACTTGGTTCCTACAGAACAAATGCAGGAAAGACAAGCCTGCATATTTATGAACTCTTGCTCTCCTTTCCCATTTTTAAAGAAGCACCCTGAACAGCCAAAAGACTTGCTTCACTTCAGTAAAAGATCCCTTCCTCTGTCTACCTCTCGCAATACTGAAGAGCTACAGAGATGGGCAACTTTAGTCCCAAACCCAATGGCACAAGGAGAAAAACAAGGCAGTTTCTCACAAGGTAGAGGGAGGAGACAGCATGCAGCAGCTTAGCCAGTTGAGCAGGGAGGGGAAATGGGGGAGAGCCAGTTTGGTGTAGTGGTTGGGAGCAGTGTTCCCTCTAAGCTGAGTTAGTCTGAGCTAGCTCAGCTTTTTAGCCTCCGGCTCACACTTTTTTGTCTTAGCTCAGGAAGGATGGCTCCAGAGCAAACTGACTTATGCAGTAGGCAAATCGCTTGCTCACAATTTTAAAGGTAGAATTTTTGCTCACAAGACTCCACATCTTAGAGGGAACATTGGTTAGGAGCACGGACTCTAATCTGGGAAAACAGGGTTTGATCCCCCACTCCTCCACATGCAGCTGCTGGTGTGACTTTGGGTCAGTTACAAGTTCTCTCAGAGCTGTTCTCTTACAAGCAGTTCTCAAAAGAGCTCTCTCAGCCCCACCTACCTCACAGGGTGTCTGTTGTGGGGGGACGAAGGGAAAGGAGATTGTAAGCCGCTCTGAGACTGCTTTGGGTAGT